CCCCCCCCCCGCCTTCAACACTATCTATAAAATGACTGTGTGTTAACTATTAGAAATACTATTCTACTACTTTATATGATTTTCTGTTATTTGCTTCCTGACTTCTGTTCTATGCTATCATTAACTTTTATAATCAGAAGCAGTGTAATGGCATTCTATCCACTTTCACACATATACTGTCTGCTGTTTTTGGCAGCATATTGAATGGTTCAGATGCAAGAAATCCTCTGGTGCTTTCGTATGGAGCCGGTCTTGATTAAATGTCTCAGATCTGATGAATTGCCCAGCATTCCTTGTAATAGGAAACAGTTTGACACCTGCTGAATTTTGGCTGCCAACTGCTTAAAAAGAGGGATTTAGAAACGGATAGCTACTGGACCGTAGCAGAATGTTATTTATGCCCCATAGTAGTGGAACTTTTTGACAAAACAAACTGTATTCTGACTCCGATTGCTGTATTAGCGATTTATCACTTGCTGAGACCTCTATGCCTGGCCTGTATAAACAGATATAATCCCTGCGGACAATCCTTATCAGATAGCTGAATTTACCAAATACCTTTTCATCCACAAAGTGCTTTTATTCCATGCATCAGGTTACAGCAGGCAACAGGATACAGCAGATGAATGAATAGATGGTATTTAAGGCGGTAAAGGCTGATAATGTTTCCAGCTAGCATGTACATGTGGTCCTGTTACAAGTAGCCATGACACACTACTTGTACTGAACAAGAAGGGGAAAATACATCATAGATACATCATAGATGGGAGGTTCCACAGAAAAACAAAGTGCAATAACCAAAATGACCACAATATGTCAGTATATGAATTAGCCATACAATACCAATGAGCAAATGGCTTCAGGAAAATAAACTATCAGGGTTATTCACAAAGCTGCTGAAGGCTGCCAAGTGAATAACCGAACCAAAGTGAACAGAGCTGAACGAGATTCGGCTATTCACTCCAGCTCAGTCATCGGCTGAAATCAGCCGTACATCAGCTCTGTACGGCTGCCTTTGGTCTGCATGTTCGACTGAGCCGTAGTGCAGAGAGACTTCGACTCAGCCAATCCAACAGCTGGATCAGCTGAATTGAAGCTTCGGCAGCTCACTCGCTGTCGTTCGCCCCTATTCTCATAGGGGCCGAACGGCATTGAGTGAATAGCCGAATGCCGCCGAGCAGCATTCGGCTCAGCTATTCTGCTCGGTACCTCCATGGTACTGAGCAGAATAGCAAATAAGTGAAAAGAGTGAAAAAAAATAAAAAGTTGAAAAAATATTTTTAAAATGTAAACAAATAGTAAAATTTAAAAAGAAAGATATTTTAAAAAAGAAAAAGAAAAACAATTGGGTGGAGCTAGCAGTGACAGCTAGCTCTGCCCAACTGTTTCCTATTGGCTGACAGCTGCTAGATTCTTCTAGCAGGTCCCGGCCAATGAATAACAACTGGGTGGAGCCGGCTCCGCCCAGTTATTGTTTAATGACAGATTACCATCCCCAGGTCATTTGGGGACACTGATCTGTCTATACAACTGGGCAGAGCGAGCTGTGAGGTCACGGTTGACTCCGCCCAGCTGTCATTTGCAATGTTGTTCTCCCTGCTTCGGCTGTCACTTCGGATAGCATATGCCTTTGGCTCGGCTGAGCTGCTAGTCCGCCTTCGGTTGCTGTACGGGCTATTGTGAATAGCCCGTACAGCAGCCCTTCGGTTCGGCCGAAGGATCAGCCGAAGCTACGGCTGTAAACTTCGGGTCAATAGTGAATAACCCCCTATGTGATTCTCATTTCACATTTGTATGAATATTAACCATGACTATGAACTGCCATATTTTATACAACTATTGCGTTACAAACTGGTTAAAGGAGTTCTAAAGTCCCAGTATATACAGTACTCTCCTGTTGTAACATCAGCATTTATTAGGAATACATATTATAATTGTTTTTGATAATGCAATCAAAAGCTTACTTGAAAATAAAAATCCCATTTATGTAGAGAATGCTGCCTTCTGTTTGCCCTTCCCTTTCATTACCCTCCTGGATTCCCAGTGTGCTTTGCATTTCTTTCCCTGCTCCATGGTGTGATGCAATCCTGGTTTCCCAAGACTACATATCCCATCATGCATTTCTCAGACCTTGGGTTGTAGTCCAGACAGCAGGCTTAGTTAGAGTGGTGACAGAAGCAGTGGCGTAACAACCGATGGGGGCAGCAGGGGCGCGGGCCCCGGGCGAAAAGTGAAGGGGGGGCGCCGGCCGAAAATGGCACTTTCGGCTAAATGACTATTATAAATAGGGAAGCAGGTTATTTACCACGACAGTAGAAGTGATTTTATTCTGAAGATATGGGTAAACAATGCGATTTAACAGCCTTTTAACGTGGGATGATTGTTGGAGCTCGGAGCCATGCAGCGAGTATCAGCAAAACAGCAGAATTAGTTAAATTTTCAAGAGCAGCTATTGTTTAAAGACTGTAGTGTTTAAAGACTGGACTATCAGCCGAAAATCTGGGTCTGAACGTGCGAATTGTGGCCGTCAGCGACTAGTCAATGTTAGGGCAGAACGGAGAGTGGCAAGACTGGTACAAGACAACAGAAGGGCAACAGTGCATCAAATGACTGCAGATCTTAATCAGGGATCCTCTGAAATGATCTCTGAATGCCCTGTTCGCCGTACACTGCATCGTATGGGATATGGAAGTCGAAGGCCTGTTCAAACACCTTTGCTGTCTGCAGTTAACAAGATAAAACGTCTCCAATTCGCACAGGAACACAAGGGTTGGACAGTCGAGCATTGGAAGTCATGTGGTCCGATGAATCACATTTCCAGTTGCATCATGCAGATGGCAGAGTGAGAATTTGGCGGGAACAGCATGAATGCATGCACCCCACGTGCATGAGTACAACCCTTCAAGCTGGTGGGGGCAGTGTTATGGTTTGGGGCATGTTTTCCGGGCATGATTTGGACCCTTTAATTCGTGTGGAACAACGTCTGAATAGCACAACATACCAAAGTATCGTTGCTGATCAAGTTCATCCTATCGTGTTGATGGCATATCCCAATGGAGATGGCTTCTTCCAACAAGACAATGCGCCATGCCACGGTTGTGCAGGAGTGGTTTCAAAAACATGAGGGAGAATTTAACTTGCTTAGGTGGTCCCCACAATCACCAGATCTCAATCCAATTGAGCATTTGTGGGACGAAGTTGAAAGAGCCATCAGGCAGCTGGTTCCACAACCATTCAAATCTCACAGAACTGGACAGTGCTATTCATCAGGCATGGTGTCAGATTCCTCGCATCACCTTTCAACATCTCGTGGAGTCAATGCCAAGAAGAATCGCCGCAGTATTGAAGGCAAAAGGTGGCCCAACAAAATACTGATGGGGTGGTCATAATAATCTGGCCACTCAGTGTATATGCTTCATGCACTTGGTCCCATAGTAGATAAAATAACATTTAGTTAGACTTCTTCTTTAAAAGATCAGCTGATTTTGAAAAGGTTGGGGAGCTCCTGAGGAGAGAAGATAGCTCAAAAAATGAAGGTTAAAATTGAATTCCGTACACTGCTGTACCACTACAACTTTATCCACAGAGTCTGGGCCCTGATAATGTTCTGACTATGATCCTGTTATTGATTTATATTTTATGATCAGATCAGTGACACATATCATAACAGATGGCACTAACAGGTGATACAGTGAAAGAGGTCGCCAAAGGCCGCATTAAAAATTTGCTGTCGGTCCTGATAAGCTGTAGTTATGCTTTTGAGAGCAAACATTTTTATTTTAACTTAGTGCTGAAAGCCCTTCACCAAAATAAATTGCACTGGGCTCCTGGCACAGAAATTCGACATTCCTTCTGTCTAGCACTGAAGGGCATTTAGGCTGGTATTGACACAGCAGGGAGCTGGCAAGCTTACAAGTTGATATTATGATATCAGTAGGCATAGCATGCTGGCTGGTGATATTCACTCACTAAGCGTTTTTAATAAAAATGTTCATTAAAATGTTGGATATAAAAAACAGGTCATCATGGAGTTTGAGGGGTTTTTTTTAGTTTTATTGTTTCCTTATTTATTAAAGTTGATTATACTAAAAAGGATAACATATTGTGTTAACATACTGTATTATATACCAAGTTTGCCTGTGCGCTTTAACTACAACTCCTATCTCCTGTCATTTATACCTGCTTTATCTATGCCCACATAATGTTCTTTTAAATATGGAGAACCTTTTATTAATTTAGTAAATGTAGGGTTTTAAATCTTACATGTCTTTGTCTCTCCAGGTGTCTTCCTCTATCTCAGCTCTGCTGTCAATCCTTTGATCTACAACCTTCTCTCCAGACGCTTTCGTTCTGCATTTAGAAATTTCCTTCCACCTCTTTTTAAACATTGGACTCCCAAACTCCCAGTCCCGGTCTTGGTCCCCCAGAAAAATACCTTGATCCTGGCTGGCCGTAACCGCAAAGACTCCACAGAAGAAGGCAGTCCCTCTTTTCACCATCGCACCTCTGTCTGCAGTTCCCATTTATCTACAGTATTGTGATTTGGTACAGTTCACCAGATGCTTTGGATCTTTTGGAGACTACGATAACTAGACCTGTTGTCAGGGAAAGGGTTACTGTGTGGTGTGCAAGATATCCTCTCTCTAGGGATGACCTCATTCAGCTGGGTAGGATGAATCCCATGCCCAGAAAATAGCCACAGCAATCATCACAAGGGAAGTGACTTAATCAGAGATCAGTTTAATCAATACATTGCTTAAGTGGATTAAACCATGTTGCTCTTTGCATGCAAATCGTGTTAAGCAACTTGCGGTTTTCTGTACTTTCCTTGTAACTGTCTGATAGTACAACACAACAAAAGGCATAAGATGTATGCTGTTCAGTACCTGTATATGCCATGTATATTTTTTTAAGAGTGACATAGTACATCCTGCTTTTGGATAGGACATAATTAAACACAAGATACAACATGTAGGCAGAGAAAATAATTTTTCGTCTCCAAAACATCTTGTGCAGGGGTTCTTAACATTATGATTACAGTCACCCTATGGACTGCCCAATATGTCCCCATACCCCAGACTGTTATCATCATCAGTCCTTTTAGTTACCAGCGTGAATTAAAAAAGATGTTAATAGCTCACATTTTAGGGCCTCTTGTTGCTTGTTAATGTGTGTTGCATTAAACTTAAGCAAAACGGAGGTGCCACCAGGCGTAGAACAGTCCAAAGTGGTTTTATTGATGAAAATTCAATAGCATAAAAAACTAAAATGCTTCAGAGGCTCACACAATCTCCCTTCATCAGGGTTAGAATTATAAATAAAACATAGATATAAATAGAGTGCGTGTGTTGCATTAGGGAAGCTCATCCATTTTTCATTGGTTGTCAGCATACCTGAAAACAAACCTGACCCTGTTTTGGCAATGCACCACACCACAATACACATATGGTTCCCATTACACATATGGTTCCTCATGCTACAGTGACTGTGCATTGGGGTGTGTTTGACAAGGTGCATTGGGATGCGATTAAAAAAAGAATGGCACGTCAATGCACCACCCACTGTGCATTATCTTGCACAGATGTGAAGCCGCCCTAACTTTATATATACATAGTTAACAGAACAGGTGGAAGAAAATCATAAGGATTTATAATTTTCATATGAAAGCAGCAAACACAAATACACAAGATAGCTACACTAAGGAAATTTCCCATTTATTATTTTTAATTACTCTTCCTATCATTTGGTTCCCATATCCCCAAAGGGGTATTGATACCCCCTGTTAAGAACCCCTGTCCTAGAATATTGACAGGCTTTAAACTTTGTAAATACATCATGAATACAAGTTTTGTTCTTACAGTTTTATATTTTGATCTGTAAATAGCCAGAATATTATGGTAAGTACTGTACTGTATGTCCTCAAAATGTTTTATTTTTTGTGTTCATACAAAAGTGCAGTGGTACATAAATGTAAAAATAAGTCATTTATTCTCCTATAACAGTTTATTTTGTTACATGGTATATGCTAAGAATGAAAGCCTACATAAAAATAAAGGATCTATTGTAAATAAACAAGGGAAATATTAAAATATGCAGTTATTGGTACCAATATTTTATTGTTTCAGTCGTTTGTACAAAATGTACTGTACGTGTCACTGTTGCCAATAACCCATTAATTCAAACATAAAGGCTACTTGTTGTTACTTACTGCAGAGCTGTAATTAAAATCCAGACTAGTCACTTCCTGTTTGAATTAGCTGTTGTACCAATGATGACAATAACAGCACATTTTTCATGAAATAGATCATGAAATATAATTTAGTATGTGTGGCTCTAACTGTGGGCTCAAACAACTATTAACAGTTCCTATTGTATTCATAATTTTATGAACCTATAACAGTGACGCAAGTGATTAGCGGTGAGCAAAATTTTCCCTGCTGTCCTTTTTGGTCAGCTTTCTTGTTTGTTTTTGCTTAGTCTTCTCATTGTCCTGTCTACATTTTAAATAATTCCTAGAAAATGAAAAAATACAAAGAGTTGGTCCACCAAAATGTAATCATTTAGTTGTCAGCTTTTATGTCTTAAAGTCTCAATACAAATGAGTAAATTAAACGTGAGATTGTAGTATATCACCAGAGTGAGCTTGGAACAGTGGTTACTTTACAACACAGGGACCATGGGAAACAAAAGTAGTCACCCTCCAGAAGGAAGGACAGTGCCCACACAAATTCAGAGATGATTTGAGGATGTACAGCTGAGTGATACACAAATAAGATACATTTTTGTTAACAGTTAAGGTACTTGAATGCATTTTAGAGTTTTAACTTGTCATTTTAAATACTCCAAAATCAGAACTTTCTGTCATAAACTTTCTTCCCGTCAACCTGGGAGTGTCCAGGCTCCACTTTTTTTTCATTCTCCATTATTAAAGCCCAACTGCAGGCTCCCCTTTCAAAATTGATCCTATTCTCCCACTAGTGGCTCCCACTGACTGTATTGTTTTTCTGATATCAGCACCTTTTACTATATGAGTCCAGTGTAAATAAACTGTGTCCTCAGGTGGTGGGCCATGATCCACTGTATATACATTAGAGCACACAGTCTGAGTACATCTTGTTGTGAAGAAGAGGTACTGCAGGAGACAGCTCTGTATTGAAAGTGGGTTTTGCAGCCTGAGGTTTTTTTCATAGCACTTGGGGACATTGGCAATCAAATGGCCATGTACCTATTGCTGACATGATTATGGCAACATGAGGGGAGGCCGCAAGACCAGAAGATCATGAGGGCATGGATTAAGGTAATCAAAAGTGGGTCTTTATTTAAAAAAAGAAAAAACTATAGACTTCTTGGGCGTGGATGGAGGTGAGGTAACAGAATGACCAGAGTTCACCTTTAAATTGTGGGTACATTCAGGTGAGCAGAATCACTTTCTTATATTTTACAACGAGTCTGTCCCTTGCTCACAAGACCATAGGAAAGAACTTGCAACTGGTTCCTTCAAATAATTGTTTGTTTCAAATATTGTCCTACATTATGGGGGGAATTACATATTTTTTTGATTTTGTAAGGTGGCATGCCATTCACTCTTTACTATCAGGATGATTGATCAAGATGCAGCTGCACGACTCCTTTACTTTACTTATACACAGGTCAGAACTACCATTAGGCACAATAGGTGTGTGCCCATAGGTGCAAGAGGTGCAGAAACACTGTATTAGCATTTGCATGGCCACACAGTCTCTAAAGACCAGCCAGCAAGATCAAGTCTCCGAAAACGTATTAGATCTATGATGCTCGGATGCCACTTTGTCTTCCATAATATAAATATCATTCATTATCTGTGTCCACACTATGAGGCTTGGGCATGAACAGATTTCCAATGCCTAGAGAAAGAAAAATACTTAAATTGACCGGGAATTACTAGGCATATCAGGAAAGCTGGACTAAAATGTCAGAACATATTATCTGCATATTTGTTTTAGTTTCTTAAAGTATTGAAACCAAGAATGAGAGTTGGGCTAATAGAATTTGAAGAAATAGGTGTTATCAATGACAGCCTATGGTTTATTTAAACTTCAAATTGCATGACTAGTGACATCAATTCTGGCAGATAGCAAAGCTCACCATACATGTAACAATCTAAAGTAATTTCACAATCTCATTTAGGTTTACCAAAACTATGTAAAAGTACTGTCCAGTTAATCTGTATTTAATCAGGTAGGGTCTTGTACTACATGGTTGTTGGTAGATCTAAAGGAGACTGTACAGTTATATTTTAACAAGGGAGCTATAGATTATATTTAAGCACAGCAGGATCGCAGTTTCACTGTAACATATGTTCCTTCAATATACATAAAATCCTTACAGCAAACACTTAACAAATTATAAGAACTCTGGTTAAAAAAAAAGAAAATAAATGTTTATTAGCATTTACAATAGGAGGGGCAACATTAAAGCCCAACTTCTTCATCTACTATTACTATATGTACTATATCTACTATTATTCAGCCCATTCCTGTGAGAAACATCATCATGGATACAATCCATGGTGATACATTATCATGCTGGATTGGGCACACAGATTATGGCATTAGTGCCATGCTACTAGGAGTAAGGACTTCTGCTGAAGGAGAAAAGGAAGAATCTATGATCAGATTAGACAGAAGACAGCATGAGAAAATACATAAAGTGATATTTAATTTAAAAAAATAGCAGTGGGGGCTTCAGGGGGAAAGAGAGGCTTGGGAAATAAAAAAAAAGGTGAAGTTAGCCTTTACTTTTTTGCTCCTATTGGGATCCCAACCCCATTGTTTCCCCTTTATTTATAGGATAATCAATTATATAATTTTATAGGTGTATGGTAATATAAAGAAGAGGGGGGTAGTGAAGGTGTGCCATTGGTACATGGCCCATGGTACTGATACTGGCACATGTTCTAATGCTCTGTGCTGTGTTTTTACACATCAGGGTTTTTTTGCTGGGCAGTTGTTTTAAGAAGAGAAAGTTGCTGTCACTGTAGAAGAGAGGACACTACTCACCTATAATTTGACCATTTTTTTTTTGGTGACAGAGCTGCTTTAAAAACTCAAGACCAGATATAATATATGCATTATTAGTTGCAAGTTTACAATATATAGACACTTTAATTTTTCTTTGAAATCAATAATGATACTCATGGAATATTTGGAAACAACAGATGGTAACCAAAATTATCATCTTGTCTATTGAGGGAAACAAGAATACAGATACTGTCAGGCTATACTGCTGCCTACAGAACGGGTTCACTGACCGTTCGGGCACATGGGCACTGCCAGCTAGTTTTTTCCTGCTGGGGCTGGTCTCTCCAAAGCAGCTTTCCAGATTGGCCTATCGTAAGCCTAACTTTGGAATGTCATATCTGGACCCCACTAGACTGGACGCTTGGGCCTAGCCAGCCTGTGACCTTTAGGTGCATTGTGGCACTTTCCAGAGCTCCACGTACTGTTAGTCACAGAGCACATTCCATGACCAGTTCCATGGCATTGTCTCAGTGCTTGACACCTCAGAATTACAAGTGGTGGCCTTAATCTGTGAAACCAACAGAATGGATTAAATCCCTAAAAAAGATATCTCCACTGCTGAAGAGACCCCTGTTTATTTGAGCGTGGTAAGAATGGCTGCAGCCTGATGATTCAGTTGTGATGGCTTGTTTCAAACATCTAAGCTTATGTCCTGCATGGGTCTGATGTCCATAAAGATGTGCAGAGCAACATGGTTACATTGCTGGGATGTTGATTTCACATCCAGAGA